AACCAATCCATTATCCTCCACTTAGAGACAAACAACCTACTCTCAAATAAACAATTTGGTTTAAGAAAAAAACTATCCTGTAATCTGCAACTCTTACACTGCAAAAACATATGGACTACACAACTCGATCAGGGCAAAGCAATAGACATAATTTACATAGACTTCTGTAAAGCCTTTGATCCAGTGGTACACGACAAACTACTCCTAAAACTAAAATCTTATGGTATTTTTGGTACCTGCATAACTGGATAGAAGCATTCCTGTCAAACAGACAACAAGTAGTCAAAATTGGGAGTGTCCTATCAAATTCTGTACCTGTCAATAGTGGTGTCTCCCAAGGCAGTGGTCTAGGACCAACTCTCTTCATACTCTACATAAATGATCTCTGTGATCATATTAAGAGCAACTGCGTTGTCTTCGCTGATGATGTAAAGCTATTCAACACCACAGACAATACTGCTACCCTTCAAAAAGACCCTGACTATGTATCAGAATGGTCAAACAAATGGCAACTTCAAATCTCAACAAACAAATGCTCTGTCTAACATATTGGCAAAAAAAAAATCAGAAAATAAAATACAAGCTTAATCGTCAAGACCTTGTTGATGATCTAAACTCTGTCAAGGATCTTGGAGTACTCATCTCTAATGATCTAAGTGCTAGAGCCCACTGTAACTACATAGCCAAAAAGGCATTAAGAGTTGTTAATCTAACTTTACGTAGCTTTTTCTCTGGTAATAATACACTACTAACTAGAGCATACAAAACATTTGCTAGACCAATACTTGAATACAGCTCAACAGTCTGGAACCCACATTATGTATCTGATATTAACACAGTTGAGAAATTTGAGAAATCTTTCACAAGAAGAGTTCTCCACTTCTCTACTCGTTGCAGAATACCTTATGCCACCAGACTCAAAATTCTAGACCTAGAAAACCTAGAACTACGCCACCTTTGGTCTGATCTAAGTATAGTATATAAAATCATACATTGCAATGTCCTACCTGTCAATGAATACTTCAGCTTCAACCATAACAATACAAGAGCATACAATAGATACAAACTCAAGGTAAATCACACCAAACTTGATTGCAGGAAATATGACCTCAGCAACAGAGTGGTCAATGTCTGGAATACTCTACCTGACTCTGTGGTTTCTTCCCCAAACCCCAAAAACCTTAGACTTTCTACTATTTTACCTCACTCCTTTCCTAAGAGGTCTGTAGGGGCGTGCATAAGCGCACCAACGTGCCTACCATCCCTGTCCTATTGTTTCTTTTATTTTTCTTATATGTATCCATGTATTCATAACTATGTTTTTACTTATACCTATTATCTTGTAAGCAATTAACAAACCAAATAAAATAAATAAATAAATAAAGTTCTTCCATCAAAACAACACTAGAGTGCACTGTACACCAGAACAATTAGACACAAGGACAGTTTTTTCCCGAACGCCATCACTCTGCTAAACAACTGATTCCCACAACACTGTCAACTTATTTACTAAGATGGTATTACTGTTCTTCCTCTTATCCTTCCTAGTACCTATCTGTTCCCACTATAATCATGTTGCTTTTGTCTTTACAATTTATATTGTTTTAATTTGTTTCCTAGTATGATTTGATTGCTTATTAGTCACCCATGACTATCACTAAGTGTTGTATCTTATGATTCTTGATGAATGTATTTTTTTCATTTATGTACACTGAGAGCATATGCACAAAGACAAAGTCCAATCACATTTGGCCAATAAAGAATTCTATTCTATTCTATTCTATTCTATTCTATTCTATTCTATTCTATTCTATTCTATTCTATTCTTTGTTTAATTTTCTTTGCCACATTACTTTTCATATTTAAAAATCATATTCATACCTTTATAACCTCTTTCCTCTGTATCAGTCTACCCCTTGCTTTGTTTTATTTTGAAATTCTGGTTCTTATTTACCACCTAATTACTATATGATTTCTTGTAAGTCTTCCATTTCATACTCCACCTAATTTATTAGACTTTGGCAACAGTCCCACTATTCATTGCTCACGTTATATATTTGATACTCTACATGTTTGATATTCTTGCTCCTTTAGTAAGGCAGTTTATTTTGATACTTCTAAATGTTTAAGATGAAAAAGATAAAAATAATTTACTTGGCATCGGGTTGCAAGGCTTCGGCGGCGGCAGGAATCCGCTTCTCTGCGGGTCCCTGCTGTGCTCGCCGTCAAGGTACCCCCGATCCAACTGGATTTGGGGGTTGTCGCTGCCCTGAAGGGGCAGCAGAAGACAGAGGAGATCCGGCCAGGGGTCTGGGGATATCGCACCCCCCTTCCCCAGCCGGCTAGACTCCTTTTTTCTGAGACGGTGGAGCGGCTGTCTGTATGGCAGCCACAAAGGAATCTTCAACTGGATAAGATTGTGCAGGAGGAAGACTTAGAAGGAGAAGTTTTCTTGGCTAAACCACGACATTATGTTACTTTTAAAACACCCTGGAAACCTGACTTTGGATTGATACATTTGTTTCCAAAAGAATTTGTTACAATGGCGAAAGTGCTGAAGGAAAATTCACTCCCCTTCCTTACGGAGAAAGCAAAGGAGCACAGAAAAACCTGTTTTTTAAAGGTAAAAATAAGCTCTTTGTTATAAGTGGGAAGGGGAGGACTAAAAAAAAAATTTTTTTTTTTAAAACTTTGTTGGAGGAGACGCCTTGAAGATTACAAGACCATTAATTAATGGTAATACGGCTTTTAAAATACATCTGGGATTTTGCCTCGGGAAAAAAACTGTAAAGAGAAGAAGAGGAAAAAAGTTTTGTTTGTTTGGATTGTTTGATAACTCTGACATTTGGAAATTACTTCAAGATTGAAAGCATCTGGGTTGTTTTTAAAAAACCTATAATGGTACCATCGGTTGATGAACTGAAAATGGAATATGAAAAATTAAAAGAAAGACAACAAAGTGGCAAGGATTCTTTGGGAGCTGCCTTCCATTTTTTAGAAATGGCGGTTTCTATGTACCAGCAAACACTGGAGGAAAGAGAAGGAGAAGAAGAAGAAGAAAAGGAAGAAGCCATTTTTAATAGACTAAAAAGTTTGACTAAGAAAGAAAATGGGAAGGGAGGAAGGGAAAAGGAGAATTTAAGATTTAATAAAACAACCAAGAAAAAGAAAAATAGGGTGAAAAGAAGGTACAATGGTAGAAAGCAATTGAAAAGAGAATTACAACAGAGAGGGAAACTTAAAAAGGGGGAGAGGAGAGGGGGGGACAAAAAGACCAGATTGGAGAAGAAAGGGAGGGAAAAAGAAAAAAAAAGCCACAGGTTAGAACAAGATTTTTAAAAGAAAGGTTTTTTTTTTAGAGATGAAGGATGATGGATAGTTTATAATTAAAGAAGATTCTGCAAGAGTGCATAAGATAGTATTGTAGTATTTGCATTTGAAACAGTTTATTGGAATATTTAATAAAATATTAATGTTTAATAATGATAGATGTTGATATTTAATAAAATATTAGGAGAATGTGTTAAATGATTAATGCTTAGTTAAAGTTTAATTTGTTACTGTTTTAATGTTATTATAACTTTAGTATTTTTTTTTTTATTCTAAAACAATGTACTTATCAGAATTAGAATTAGAATAGAAATTATATATTTAATTATACTATAAGTTTACTATTCTTTTATTTTAAGATTTAATATGTAGAATGTACTAAGCAGAATCAGGATGGAAATTATGTATTGTTTTAAGCTTTATTTTAGGAGAAGGCGTCATACTTCAAAAGTGATTACAGGGGAAATTTTTTGTTAAAGGGAAGAGATAAATAGATATTTGGTAAAGAACGGACAAAAGATATAAGTATAATGACTTTGAAATAAGATGAAATAAATAAAATATAATTAAGAGAGTGAAAAGATGGGAGAAGTTATATAGAAAATACAAAATGGTTAATAAGATATGAAGGGTATATAAGGTGGGCATGAATTTGATTTAGGTCTGTCAAAAAAGATGTAACCTGGGGCCAAGTCACTTTTCAAAAGAAGTTTTATGTTTTATGTTTAGTGTGTGGATTATTTATGTTTGATTGTAAATTAATAAAATCTTGGAGAAATGAAATTAAAGGGAGAGAAATTGGGAAAAGATATGTACAAATGATAACTAAGGAGGTTTTTTTTTTCTCCAATGTTTTGCTTTAGGTTATGCATTTTGTGTGCTTATGACTGATTGAGAATTACTGAAACTTTGATAGAAGGAAATACGATTGAATGAAAGTGAAGGGAGAAATAATGAGAAATTTGGAAAAGATATATATGTGTAAATGGAAGTGTGATAATGTGGAACTATGTTTTAAAAAATAATGCTTTATTTGCCTTGTTGAAATTTATAAGTAATTCTTAAAAAGGAGGTTTTATATTTCTATGTGTTATGTTTTGTTTGTCTTCAAAAATCAATAAAACTTGTTCTTAAAAAATAAATAAATAAATAATTTACTTGGGTTTCTCAAAAAGAAAGCTTTCAAAGGTACTAATTTCACAGCACTGTCAAAACAAAGAGTGCCAGATTTCTTCCCCCCTCTCGATAAATTGGTACTTGGTTATAGTGATATGACGAGTTGACTATTATGGCCAAACACTCTGAGAATAATAATCTCAAACTATCTGAATGGCAGATTGAGGACAACTAGTTTCACTGATTTCTGGTTTGCTATGTCAGTTGTGGCTTATATTTTAGGGTAATGTTTTGATGGTAGAACTGTTTTCAATTTTTAAAATTGGACACATAGATTGTACACACAATCATATTCAGTTTCTTAGAAAACAAAAATCAGTACCAACACAGAACAGTTTATATCAACAATGGAGGCTATTTAATGCTCTCCTCTATTCAATATCTCCTCAAATGATGATACAATGGCTTATTAATCTCTTTCATTTGTCTTGAAGTAGTATTATATTTTTTTTAACTCAAGAAGAGTAATCTTCTTATTTCTTTCTTCTGTATAGGCTGGCATGGCCTTGACATATGACCCTACAGCTACTATACATAATGGGTGAGTAATATATTCTTTACTGTTTTTAATGGCATTGTGATATTTTCTAAAGCATTTTAAATTGTTAGCACAATTTCAAAGCAACTCAAGTGGTATTATTTGAGACAACTTAAATATGCATTAAGCAGGAAAAATCATTTCCCCTCATTTATTTCTAGACTATTAATTATGAATTGGGAATGATTGAACTGAATTTTAAAAATGATTTGCTTCAATTTTAATATTCTCTAAAGCTAACTTATTGACGCTGATCACGTTGTTCAGTGAGGCAGGCTATGAATAGGAGATAGACATGTTTTAAAGAATCTTGAATAAGGCAAGCAGTTCTATTCATTTATCTATTCATCAGGTATAAATGCTATTTATATCTCACAGTGCAATACTCATTTTATTCCTACAACAAGTATAGGTAAACAGAACTGAGAGGTAATTGAATGGGCCAGTGTAATTTGTGAAATCCACAGTTGGGTTTAAATATGAATCTCCCTGCTCCAAGATCAACAACTCAACCATTAGACTAGTCTTTCCCTTCAGAGAATAGTTACTAGACTATTACTGAATAATGTGAATATCAAAAAGTTACCTTATTTTTGTTTGTTTAGTAATTTCAGGCAGATGCTGTGCTTGACGATGTTTTGGAATCAGAAATGGGGCAGGGTTATTCCAGAATGGCTCACATAGCACATTACACAAATTTTATTTTGCTTCTCTTCCACTTCGTACATCTTATGTTTTTCAGGAGAGATAGCCTTTGTGTAGAAAAATATCCAATATTTCTAAAATAAACAAACAATCAGTTGCATCCCCCCTTCCCTTGCAAGCCATTCAAAAGTGAGCAAGACAATTGGTTGAAAAAACAACTATTTAGAAGTAATTCTAACAACATTCAGCAGAGCCCTAGCTGCCCTCTTCCTTGGCAGGGTGAGGCTTGGAGCATTCGGTGGCGCAGTGGTTAGAGTGCAGTACTGCAAGCTACTCCCACTGCAATTTGGCAGATTGAATCCCACCAGGCTCAAGATTGACTCAGCCTTCCATCCTTCCAAGCAGTGGTCGTATTCAGCTGGTTCACACCGGATCGGGTAAACCGGTAGCAAGAATTTGTTGCGGGTTGCCAAACCAGTAGTAAGTTCTGGCTGGCCATGCCCCCCCACCCGGTCACCCTTCTGCCCGATGCTCACTCACCCTGCCCACCCACCTGACATTTGCTTAAGGTATTTCTTTCTTTTTTTTCTAATCAGCTGTAGATAAGATCAGCTGTGCCGGGATTCCCCTTGCTGAGTCCCAGGAAGGCAAAAAATGGAGGGAGGAGCTCAGCCTACCTCCATTTTTTGCCTTCCAGAGCCTCAGAGGAGCCTTAGGGAGCAAAAATGTTCACCCAGAGGCACTTCTGAGACTAGGAAGCTCCCAAAATGGAGTTTGGAGGGGTGCTGCATGCCCCTCCCATGCTCTGTTCCTTTTCTTCCAGAGCCCCAGAGGAGCCTTAGGGGAGCAGAACCACCCCCCAGAGGCTCCTCTGTGGTAAGAAGCTCCCCAAAATGTGTGGGGGCAGCAAAAAAAACCACGCCCACCCAGTCACATGGCCATGCCCACCAAGCCACGCCCACAGAACCGGTAGTAAAAGTTTTTGAATCCCACCATTGCTTCCGAGATGGGTAAAATGAAGACCCAAATTGTTGGGGGCAATATGCTGACTTTGTAAACTGCTTTGAGAGGGCTGTAAAGCACTATAAAGTAGTATATAAGTCTAGGTGCTATTGCTATTCAGCCTTTAGTTGGGGCTCCCAGCATGGCAACAGACAAGAGCATTGGGTGAGCCCTGCAGGCCGATGTAATTGCAAGTCCGGCCCCAGCTATGACAAGGAGTAGCAATTGCATCTAGGCCCAGGGGCTGAGAAGAAGGTACAGGTGTTAAGCCCCAAGTAACATGTCCCAAAAATAAAGTCCATGGAACCCATTTTCTATTTCAAGTCCATTTATTAGGAACACATTAAATTGGCCACAGACTTGATGTAATTCCGACTCTGAACCGGATCTGGAATTACACCCAATAAAATAAAAAGTGTGGAGCATTCTCCCTGAGTCACAATCTGCAATCACTTCTTGGTTCCATAGTCCCACAACTCCAAACTCCACCTTCATCTAGCTGCAGGCATCTTGAGCCATTCTCACGGGAAAGGAACACCACCTAGACATAACATCCCCCCTTTATCTCTACATGCCCCCTGGGTGAACCTGAAGTATCAGTAAATTCAATTACTATAAATCTAAAAGCTAATAGAAAAAGAAATATTAAGGCTAATATAAAGTATGGCTACACATATGTCATCTTCAGGGTCGACAACAGGAGGGGTGTGGTGGCTGGGCTGCATTCTGGCCTATTGCATTTGGGTTTTTGCTTTGGTTACAGGCATATAGCCTGACCATTGCTGAAATGCAAGAGGGTTTCTGTATCAACAGGGTTTGGGAGGCTGAAGTCCTCCATTTTTGTGACCATGCAGTTCTAAAATTGATGGGCTGCTGCTGGGGAGGGTAATCAATATAGGTCAAAATAAGCATTGTCCACCACAGTTTATTGTGTGCCAAGTTTTCCTTGGATTTTCCTATCTCTTCTGAGTATTAAAATCACATTGGCAAGGTCTGTACACCATGCTGCAGTATTACTTGGTCTGTTGTGTGGATGCTTGTGTGTTTTTAGGAGGCAGGGAATTTTGGTGGGTGGGGAGGTGTTTGGGGATTATCATGTATGTGTGCATGTTGAGTCTGGTCTCTGGGTGTTATGTGAAATTCGTTGTATGTATACTGTGTATATACGAGGGCTATCCATAAAATAGATTATGTTTTTGTTTGTAGCAAGAAGGGACAGAGCTAGCACAGCCATCTTTGGTCTGTGCGTCCACCACTCAGTCTGCATCTAGTCGTGCTAGTGGGAGGATTGTATCGTTGCCCATTATTTCACAGCAAACGTTTGAAATGTGTGCTGCAACTGAAAATCCCGCGAGCTGTGAGGTGCGATCAGTGATAAGGTTTTTGTTGGCAAAAACCATAAACCGATTGAAATTTTAATTGAAAAATTGAAAAACTAAGAAAAGCAATTCAGAACAAGCATAGAGGAAAGTTAAGCTCAAAAATTTTGTTTTTGCATGACAATGCCCGACCACACACAGCAAATCGCACTCGAGAAGTCCTGAATGCTTTCAAGTGGGAGATTTTTCCTCATCTGCCCTACAGCCCCGATCTTGCACCAAGCGACTACCAGTTGTTTCCGAGGATGAAGACCTGGCTTGGAACAAAATTTTTGAGCTTAACTTTCCTCTACGCTTGTTCTGAATTGCTTTTCTTAGTTTTTCAATTTTTCAATTAAAATTTCAATCGGTTTATGGTTTTTTGCCAACAAAAACCTTATCACTGATCGCTCCTCACAACTCGCAGGATTTTCAATTGCAGCACACATTTCAAATGTTTGCTGTGAAATAATGGGCAACGATACGAACCTCCCACTAGCACGAGTAGATGCAGACTGAGCGGCAGACACACAGACCAAAGATGGCTGTGCTAGCTCTGCCCCTTCTTGCTACAGACAAAAACGTAATCTATTTTGTGGATAGCCCTCTTACATACAATGACAATAAAGAATTCAATTCAATTCAAACTAGTCAGCCAGATTTTAGCCTAACCTGTAATGCAATACCAAGCCACATTCTAGAGGTAAGAGCTGCAAAATTGTTCCATTATCTACTCTTGCCTTTAACAGCAATAACTATGTTCTTTGATGTATTTGCTAGCACCCTTCATGCTGTGAGCTTCTCTTTCCGTCTTGGGGAAAGAATTCAGAAGTGCTAGATTTATTTTTCCTGCTAATTACGGTATACTTTGTGGGTTTTTTAAGAAGCTGTGAGAAAAAAATGTGCCTGGAAATTAAAGGATGTATGGATTGAGTTGTGAGACAGGAAAGGGAATTACATGGACTTGTGTACTTCCAGTTGCTGACAAATGAGAGACTAATGTTCTAACCTGACACTTGCATGCTCTCAGGCCCAAAGATTATTTTCATTCTTCATAGGCCAGTATTGTGAATTAACTAAGTTCTTCTGGATTTTGATTTTAAGGTGAGCTATAGAGGCCATTGATCTTCTTAAATGGATAATAATAACTGAAGGCTCAAGGGGAAGGCAGATTAGAAAGACCTTTTGGAGTCTTCAATTCCGTTCATGTTAAGAGTTCCTTAATAAGGTTTGCTCTTCCTTCCTAAACCAATAATCAATTTTCTGATTTTTTTTTACAGAAAACATGTGAAACATGCTGTAGTTAGCGATTTAATTGTTTTCTTTTTGCCTATGTTTTAATTTGCATAATGTATGTTTAATCGAGGGGGCTTGGAAAGGTTGAAGTGGCCAGTATGGAGACTGCATCTTGCCTTCCAGATGTGTCTTCCCTGCAGATTTCTGGAGACGAGACTGTGACAGGGGAGCTGCGTGATGGAAGACTTCCCCAACAAGCCTGCATCCTTATTATGCATGATTGGATTCCCTTTTGAGAAGGGCCAGCCTTCCTTGCTGCTTCCCTGCCTCCTCCACTTGCTCTCCACAGATCTGTCAAGGCAGAAGCTGGACTCAGAGGAAATTGCCTCCTGCAGACTTTCTCCTTTGTGCTTCCATACGCAGCAGTGTCATCCTCCACCTCCTGCTTTGCTGGGAGCAGCCACCAGACAGGGAAATGCCAATGATGTCTGGCATTGGGAGGAGAAAGTCTTTGGCGTGCTGTGCACATGCATGCACACACTCCATTCCAAGCTTGGAAACTTTTATCCACATCTGAGCTTACAAACTGTCAATCATGACTGGACTTGGGGAAAAGGGCCCTCTCCTTCCTCTGTGAAGAAAAGTCCGCAAATTTGGAATGTGGTGTGTGTGTGTGTGTGTGTGTGTGTGTGCACGCACATGTGCGTGTGCACATGCACACACGCATGCACACACACACATGGGCATGCACTTGGCTGCTTG